TGGGAACGAGAGTCACCAAATGAAACGGACGAGGGTATATTTTATTTTGATTAATCGATGTTTTTTCTCATTCACCACTGATGTGGCATGCTTTCAAGAATAAATATCTGTTTACAACTAAAGAGACGCAAATTAAATTCATTGCTTTGTGTCGCTAGCGAAAGATAAAATATAGATTCAAAAAAGTGTAAATAGTACACGGACAAGCGTTATGTATAGTGATCGTAACAGGGAATACAGAGTTAGGTTAAGTACGACATGTTTAACGATCTTTTTTTTTTTTTGACGAAACAGAGCGTCATGATTAGTTTTATTTACAGAAGACAGAGCGTTAAGTATGCTGTTCTTTATAGGGAACAAAACATTATTTATATTGATCTTAACAGGTTTGTTTGTTATTAATTTCGTTCGAAGCTACACGAGGGCTATTTGCGCTAGCCGTCCCTGATTTAGCAGCGAAAGACTAAAGGGAAGACAGCTAGTTATCACCAACCACCGTCAGCTCTTGGGCTACTTTTTTACCAACGAATAGTGGTATTGACCGTCACATTATAGCGCCCCCACGGATGAATGGGAGAGCATGTTTGTGGGACGGGGATTTGAACCCGCAACCCGCAGATTGCGAGTCGAGCGCCCTAACCACCTGGCCATGATCTTAACATGGAATATAGAGTTAGATATAGAAATATATATATTTAAGGCTCTTTTTTTTCACGGAATAGAGCGTTGTAATTAGTGTTAGTCACAGAAGAGAGAGCATTAAGTATGCTGTTCTTTACAGAAGATAAAACGTTAGTTACAGCGCTCTCTATCAGTCGTTGGTAATAGGTTTTCTTGCATAAGAAAAGTCTGTAGTTTGTATGTAAAAAAAATATCGAACAGCATTCCTGAAAACGATCTCATAAGATGTTTACATGACGCGCGATTATTTTGCGCATTAATCTGATATAATATTATACTTTGTATGTTAAAGTTGAATTAGTATATATATATATTTATTGTATAAATTTATAGTAAATTACACATACACCATATTTATTAGACACAAGGTTGTGTCGAGCACAAAATGATTGTTGTCATAGCTACTGTCCTCTGTGGTGGAGTGTGGTGCACCACAGTAAGACGGATAGTAATTTCGATCACAACTTTCTTTGTTGCCCTCATAGAGGTTTCTGGTAAGATGTGTGTGTATAGTATAATTTTGACGACATTTTTTCTGTCGTATGAATATACCGACGAGGTCTTTCTTTCAATACCAAAGTTCATTAAGCTGAATAAATTATAATGTCGAATAACGTATAGTTGAAACGCCCTTATATATATATATATATGTGTGTGTGTATTTATACACCAAAGTATTAGTCACGAACTCTGTTAAAGCTCACTCGTTTGACAACATTATGCTTACTCACCTTAAAAACGCTATAGTAATATTACAATAAAAAAAAGGATGTAAGGATGAATGCATCATTAAACAATAGTTTTATCATTCCTAGGATAAAACTGGTCTAATTATACTTCATCGAAAAGTCCTGATGCTTCTTTTGAATATAAATATTTATCTTCTTTATAAGAATCGTTCCTACAATCCCCTTAAAAATATTAATAAATGTCATTTTTAATCTAATTATTATACTTGAGTCACTCATTAGCAAAACTATAAGTATGTTAACTCAAATGAAAGCAAATTAAGACATTCAGAAGGGTAGTTAGTAGTTTTTATCTTTCACATTTTTCAACAATTCGTATTATAAAAAAAATGGTTATGTCTAGCTTGTTAGTTCATATTCAATTGTATAACCACAGCTTGTGGTTACGTGACTAGTTATTTTAAGGGTGGTCCCCCGGTCGATCAGCTAAAACCCAGAGTTCGATTCCCCGTGGTGGATTGAGCAAGCTAGGCCATTATATGGCTTTGCACTAAAAATACAAACAAAAAAAGTAACCTGACCTAACTTTGAGTGTTGAAGTTGATATTACCAAAATTCTGGTTTATAGTTTGTGAATTCAATGACTCGGTTTCTATCACCTCTACCCCCACCCTCCCACCCCAGAAAAGTGAAAATAGTGTAGTAAATATTTATTTTTCATTGCGGATATTTTAGAAATTATGTGGAAGAGAGAATTTAGCTAAGGAATTGATCGATTTATTAATTAGACACCAAATGCACCGTATTTCAGCATGGTTAGGCCTATTAGACGTTTATTCCGTATACTTAACTTCTAAAATCATTATTTTATACTCAATGGTCTAGAATGTGGACGTATCAGCTTATCCAACTCGGCCTGGCATTATCTGGTAGTTAGAGCGCTCGAATCGCAATCTTAGGGTCGCGGGTTCGAATCCCTGTTGCCGAACATGCTCGCCCTTTCAGCCGTGGAGGCGTTATAATATGACGGTCAATACCACTTTTCGTTGGTAAAGCAGTAGCCTAAGAGTTGGTGGTGGGTGGTGATGGGGGAACGCTGTCTTCACTCTATTCTTTCACTGCTAAATTAGGGACGGCTAGGGCAGATAGCCCTCGAGTAGTTTTGCAAGAAATTCAAAAAATAAACAGACTTATCCAACTCCAATGTTTCCCAGCGAGTAGCGAAGACATTAGGAAAACCGATGATGAGAAAATGCACTCCAATGTATAGAAATTATTCCAGTTATATTATTTTCTTTGTTGATGTTATTGTTGCCCTTGTTTTATGAATACAAAGTTACACAATGGGCTATTTGAACTTTGTCCACCGAGGGGAATATAGCCCTTAATTTTTGCGTTGTAAGCTCATAAGCTTACCGCCGACTTACCGGGGTACTTCATTTTATTGAGTCTCCTGATAAAGTTTCACAACTTTTCATTAGCTTTATTGCACAGCATGGTATTAAGTTTTCTAAAAGTCACGTTCCTTACAAAATTGCGAATTCGTGACAGGCTTTGTTTTCAATACAAAAAAATTGTTTGTTTCTTTTCTTTTAAATCAAGTTGTTGTGCAAGTAAACAACTACATACTGAGTTTTGTTTGATTGTTATATTTTGTGCAAAGTTACTCGAGGGCTATCTTCCTTATACGTCCTCACTTTGGAAGTGATAGACTAGAGGGAAGGTAACTCTTAAACCAAATCTTGAGCTACTATTACTAACGAAAAGTGGGATTGACAGTCACATTATAACACCTCCACAGCTGATCAGTTGCGGGTTTTGATCCCGCGATCCACAGACTGTGAGTCAAGATTCCTACCCAACGCCCCCTAGTGGCGCAGCGGTATGTCTGCGGACTTACATCGATAGAAACCGGGTTTCGATACCCGTGTTGGGCAGAGCACAGATAGCCCTTTATGTAACTTTGTTCTTAACTACAGACCACTACTACTACCCTACCCAACAGGTCATATATTATGCTTGGCCAAAATATTCTCACGTTATTAAGCTTGACCTTTTTGTCATGTGATTGTTTAGTATTAACAGAATGGCTAAACATCGACTGGTATTTGGCTAATTAATCCCAAGACCAACCAAAATAACAAACCTGAAAATTATTGAAATTGAGATCTTCAATTTATCATATCGGAATAATTTTCCTATAAACGCGATACTTTGTTTTTGATTTTTCATCATTAAATTGTTTGTTTGTTTTTGAATTTCGC